GGGATAACAAGCGACGATGGAGGAGGCGACAGGAGAAGGGGAGGACAAGACGCGTGGGAACGGTGCAACATAGGGTGAGAGCGCTGAACAGGAGAGACAGGACAAGCACGAGAGGGACGTCAAGACCAAAAGTTGGACGGAGGCGTTGGGTCAGGAGACACAGGAGCAGAACGAGGGGGGAAATGAGCCAGAGATGAGTTCGGCAGCGGAAATACAGGGCCGTAGACAAGCAATGGAGGTGGCGGCGGGGGAGGCACAGGTGGGTGGTCAGGGGAGGGAAGACCAAGGAGGCAAAGGGCGGATACCGACACCGAATGGTGGTGCTGCTGCTGCTCCACGTCATCACCACAACCTCCAGCTGCACCACGGCTACCTCCGGGACACTCCACGTCAACACCCCTAGAGTGAGAACCCTCTCCAACACCGGGGCCACCCCCAGAACCACCTGGATGAGCCACGACAGGAACCCCAGGACTAGCACCCCCAAAACCAGCACCCCCAGAACGAGAACCCTCTCCATCACTGGTGCCACTATGACAAGCCAGGATAGGAACCCCAGGACTAGCACCCTCCTCAACGCCTGCACCCCTAGAGCTCGCGGACCCCTGCGGCCGCACCGACGGCGATTGCTGCTGCGGCGACGATGGCGGCGGCTGCTACGATGGCGGAGGAGGAGACACCGAGGTGGAGATAAGTGGAAAGAACAGCGCCGCGGGGCCACCACAGTCAGCTGACTCCTCGACCGGGACGACCGACGGGAGGGGAGTGATGTGAGACACACCACACAGGGCAGGACGGGAAGGGAGAGGAGCAGGGGTTACCAGGGGAGTGGGAACCAGAAACAAGGGCGGGGAAACCGGGAGACCTCGGTGGGGAAAGAGGTGGTAGAAGGGGACAGACTCGTCAAAAGTGACGTCACGGGAGTGAGACGGCGGTGAGACGGCGGGTGGTAAATGTGCATGTCAGACGCGTCGACGAGGAAACCAAGGAAGACACAGGGGATAGTGCGGGCAGTGAGCTTGTCCGTTCCAGAGGTACGAACGTGAGCAAGGCAGCCCCAGACGTGGAACGTAGACGCATCACCAGGGAACCCGGTCCTGAGTAGGGTCGGCGAAACCTGCGACCGCTGGGAGTGCGGCCACAGGTTCAGCTGGTGAGCGGCGTAACGAACAATGAATGGCCACAGAAAATGGGGTGCACCAGCATGGATCATGGAGGTACGAGCCCCTTCCCTGACCAAACCGATGCGTCGCTCAACGACCCCATTCAGCTATGGGGAGTCTGGCAGGGTGTACGACTGGGTGATGCCCTCCGTATGACAGAACTAGCCAAGCTAACCAGAGGCGAACTCGCCGCCACGGTCGGAGTGGAGACGCGGCACAGGGAGGCCACGGTGGACTCGTGCAGCTACGACCCACGGAATAAGAACGTCAGGCACGTCGGCCTTCCGCTCCAGGGGAAACACTGTGGTGCAGCGCTTATAGTCGTCGACAAGCACTAGAAAGTAGCGCTCGCAACGTGGCCCTGGGACGGGGGCTGGGCACTAGACGTCTAGGTGCAGGGTCTGGAGTGGCGCAGTGGTAGGGGGAAGCAAGGAGGAGTAAGGAGCACGGCGCAGCCGGCCCTCGACACAAGGTGAGCACGGCAGTGCAGGCGAGGGAGGAAGGGGAGGGAGCGACGCAGGGAGACCGAAGACAAGACCGTGATGGGACATGTAACACAGTCGCGGGAGTGCGGGGTGACCTAGGCGATAGTTCCATAGTAGCAACGGTTGACTGAGCGACCAACACGAGCAAGCCGCAGCGACTTGGGTCGACACAGGCACCTGGGGGGACGCCCTCACCGGGGGGGATGCAGTGTCATGCGTAAACAGGCTGGACACAGGGTCTCGGGGGAACGTGGTCAGAGGAGCGCCAGTGGCGGCCTCGGTACAGGCCGCGTGTCACTCGTGTCCGGGGAACGTAGTGGTGACACCGAGGTCCCGAAGACAACCGACACGAACTAGGTTCCTGGAGAACGAGGGGATGTGCAAGCCTGTAAGAGATCCTGAAGGGACCGCCGGACACGGAAGGGTGGTGGAGCTACGGGCAACTATCGGACCTGAGGAGGGGTCAGCAAGTGCGACAGCGGTAGGAGCGGCAAGAGGCGTGAGCGCAGTGTGGTCGCGGAAGAAGCAGGCAGACGCTCCAGAGGTCGAGCGTGAAGGAGAGCGAAGCAGTAGCGTCCGCCGGTGGAGGGGCTGGCGTGGAGCCTAGGCTAAACAAGGCAGGGGGTCCTATGCCTAACGCAGCATGGGAACCTAGACTACACACAGCGGACACATGTACGCTAGGCAACACCGGGTCATAGGGTCCAGTCACACTAGAGTCATCAGCATACATGGCACACAAAGCACACCCGATCTGATCCATGTCCATCTCAAAGACAGGCACGCGACGTCGCACCAGGCTGTACCAGTCGGGGGGGTCCGCCGTGGGGCCGAAGCGGAGACGGAAGAGGTCATCGAGGCGGCGGTATGACTGAGGCGGTTACAGACAGTGCCGCGGCGGGGGCCGGACTGAAGCTGGTACTGGCAGGTGACCACACTAGAGCCGCCATCTGACACCGAGCTGCGCCCTTCACCACCACCAGCACCGCCAGTCCATCACGGCGGCGGGGGTCTCCACGGCGACTGCTGCTGCTGCTACTGGGCGCGAGGGGCCTGCTAGGGCGCTAGAGGCCGGCTAGGGCGCAAGGGGCCGGCTGGGCGCGCGGGGCCGGCTGGGCGTGAGGAGCCAGCTGGGCGCGAGGGGCCGACTAAGGCGCGAAGGGTCGGCTAGGGCGCGAGGGGCCGGCTGGGCGCGCGGGGCCGGCTACGGCGCGAGGGGCCGGCTACGGCGCGAGGGGCTGTCTAGGGCACGAGGGGCCGGATAGGGCGTGAGGGGCCAACGAGGGTGCGAGGGGCCGGCGACGACGCGAGGGGCCGTCGACGGTGCGAAGGGCCAGCTGGGGCGCGAGGGGCCGGCTGGGGCGCGAGGGGCCGGCTGGGGCGCGAGGGGCCTGGCTAGGCGCGAGTGGCCAGCTAGGCGCGAGGGACCAGCGACGGCGCGAGGGGCCGGTGACGGCGCGAGGAGCCGGCTACGGCATGAGGGAGGGCTATAGCGCAAGGGGCCAGCTAGGCGCGAGGGGCCAGCTACGGCGCGAGAGGGGTCGGGTGGGCGCGATAGGGGCCGGCTAGGCGCGGTAGGCTAGGGCGCGGGGCGGAAGAGGGTGGGTGGACCTAACCTACTCATGATACCATGTTAGAATACTGGAATGAATAGAAACAAGAGAGAGCAAGCAAGATATAGGGTTGGGTTGTACTCTTTAAGAACATACACCTATTCTAGCCTATAACTTCTACATGCTGAATGTATGTATACTATAAGTTGACATTAGTGTGCTGTGTGTATGGTGGGCTTTCAGCTACCAAGCCTAGGGGGTGTGTTAAATTATATATTTGATATATATAATGGTAGGCCTGGTAGGTGTTACTAGATCCTACTATAGAGGGTACAACCCCCCTTCTTGTATCCTTCTCTCTTCTTTTCAAATTTCTCTTTTCTCCCGATATTCTCCTTCCTAAACCTCTCGCCATTCCATGGCTCCTCCTACCTAGCTAGCTGATTTTAACAAGATAGGATTCTGTTTTAGGCTGGAAATCCGTTAAGGCTGATAATTCAGGGTGACCAAAACAAGAACATACAATATTTCAGGCTTGCTCAAATGAGAACACCCAAAATTCAGGCCTAGGAAAAATTAAAAGCTGAAAAAACATAACGAACCTAAAAAAACACCGTGTTATACAACATTTCAGGGCATTTTGTCCTGACTTCTAAAGCCCTGGTAGGTACATAGATCTTCTCTGAAAAAACAGAATGAAATACAAAAAAAATAATCTTCCCAATTTTAGTACACCCCCAAAAAAACTCTGAAAAAAGTCTGAATCAGAGTAAAAAGTCTGCAATTTGGGGGCTTGATCTAGCCTATAATATCATGTAGGTACAAATATGTCTGACATAGACTTTTAGTGTCCAGGGTTTCAGCTAGGATTTAGGGCTGCCTGAGAATCAGACAAGGTTTCAAAGTTTGGTCTGACCATCAAACAATTTTTTTCAAAGAGTCTGAGATCTCATACGAAAATTTTACGTTGGTCTTAAAATTCAGACGAAATTTTGCGCAAGAATCTTCGTCACTCGTAATTTCGACATCGATTTGTTCGTTTCCTGCTAAGAGCATTTTCTTACGAACCTCTTCCCAGGCTACCCAATTCCCAGACTCGGTCCTCGCCTGAGAGCGCGCTCGAAGGTTTTCTTGTCAAGCTCACTTCGTTTCAGTATCACATTCTCAACCGCTTTGATTCTGCTCGGGTCATAATCGAACTGTAGGGACCCACGCCTCTCTAGAAAATGTGTGCCTGCGAAGTTTGACACACGCCCTGAACCTCGTCAATCTGAACCACACAGAAGAGCGCAAGAGTCATTGCACGACACTAAAGCGTGCGAGTCTGGAAATAGGCAGGCCTGTGAAGAGGCCGTAGGAAAACACTCTAATTGGTTGAGGCTTGGATTCTGGGAAGAACACTCGCAGGTGGCGTGACGTGTCACGTGCAGGCAGCCCCCTCTCTTTGCCCACCAATTTCAGGGTTCTTTCTGCCCCGCCCTCAGTCCAGTCAAGCGACGAAGCAGAAAAAACAGTGTGGAAGCAGGGTAGTAGGGACTTCGTGTGGGGGAAAAAACGGGCTGCGAGGGGTGTGTGGGGGAATGTATCTCGCAGTTAGGGACTCCGTGTGTTGCGTGTGGTGTGTTGATGAATGACTCTGGTGTGGGAGACTTAACAAATTTTTTGTTGTTGCGAGGGGAATATCTCTTGTGTGGGGCACTTAGCCGGAAAAACTAGATGTTCTAGGGGTGTGGGGGGGATGTATCTGGCAGTCAAGGACTTAGCAAAAAAAATCTCAGTTGTGGGGGGGAGGGAGGAGGGTCTTAGCGTTATAATTATTGGGTAGAATGGGAGTATACAGGGGTATATAGCTAGTGGGTTGTACTCCCTATGGCATGACCCTATGTAGTCTACTAAACATACACACATATGTTTGACACACCCCCTAGACTAGATAGGGGCAGAGCCTAATGAGAGACAAGCAGCTCAGGACGGCACTACTAGTCCAACCTCTGAGGCAGGGGTCTAAAGACCAGTCAAAAGAGTACAAACAAGGCAAGAACAAGACCAGGGCGGCACTACTATTCCAACCACAGGGAGAAAGCCACAAGGCCACTCAGGATAATATATAAAGAGTTATACACAATCAAGATCCTAGCAAATGAGGTGCTACAGGAACGAGACCAAGCTGTACCCAGTGCCGCTAATGATCTTTGGGCGCAAGCGCCTTCGTAAAGATATCAGCCGTGTTGGCACCAGAGGCCAAGTGTAATACGCGGGCCTGGCGACGCTGCTGTAGCTCGCGCAGGAGGAAGTACCGTAGCTGGATGTGCTGTGCTCTGCCCTCGAGTCTGCACTCCTGACACAAGAGGATCATGGCCTTGTTGTCATCATACAGGACCGGGGCAGAGCTAGGCCGCTCACCTAAGACTGTGAGCAATAAAGTCAGCCAACGGAGTTCGTGAACAAGGCGCGGAGAGATTATAGGGTATATCATTAATGGGCTACCAAAGGAGTGGGAGATGGAGATAGGCATGCTGAATTGCAACCCACCTTCATCACTCACAAAGCTTGTAGAGATGTTGCAATCGCTAGAGCTGGTTAAGACGGAGAGGAAGAGGAAGGAGGCAACCGCTAGTAGTGCTGCACCAGTGAAACCAGCTCTAGTTAATGTGACAGGGCCTACAACAAAGGGCTTTGGACCATGTTTTGAGTGCGGTAGAAATGGGCATAAGGCAGCCGAGTGCTATTTCAACCCTAAGAGTAAGAATTTCAGGGGGAAAGACCTTAGGGAAGGAGCAGGGTGCGGACAGGGCAGCAGGAGAAAAGGCGAGGACAGCAGGAGGTTTCATGGGCAGCTGCAATCACTGCGGGCGGTATGGGCATAAGGCGGTAGATTCTTTTCTCAACCCTAGGAGTCAACGCTTCCAAGGGGTACGAGTGCAACAGAAACCCGCAGCAGCTAGAGTAAATGCAGTAGGCTCGTTAGCGGAGGACGATGCTATTCTTGGAGGAGCACATAGAGCGAACTTGGCTAGGGCATCAGAGGTATGCTTGCTCACAAAGGGGCTTGAGGAGAAAGGCTGGTTCATGGATAGTGGGTGGACACAGCACATGACCTACAGAGGTGACTGGTTGACTAGTTTCAGATAGTCAGCAGTACCCTATGTGCTGCTAGGAGATGAGGGGAGGCTGCCGGTATTGGGAGAAGGAGAGATCGTGCTACAGAGTCCGTACGGGGAGCTGATCCTTGAGAACGTTTTGCTGGTCGAGAAGCTGTCGCTAAACCTGATTAGCCAGTCTCAGCTCGATAGCACAGGAAGCAAGTTCTTCAGTGATGAGGGAAAGATGTGGGTCTTTGGAACGGATTGGCACATTCTAGCTGGGGGGGTGCGCAGTCAGGGTTTGTACGAGATGCGGTTACAAGTGAAGGGGTTGGTGAAAGGAATAGTTAGCTATCTGCCCGAGCCTGAGGAGGGCAAGAAGGCTAGGGAGGAGCTGGTTGCCATGATAGAGGAGAGGCCAGTGGGAGAGCCACAGTTACATTCAATGGCTATGGCAAAGGCAGCAGGAGGAGTGGAGCTAGGCATGTGGCACATGAGGATGGGTCATGCTAGTGAGGAGCAGCTTAAGGAGATGGTGGCGAAGGAGATAGTTATGGGGATGAAGCTGAACCAGAGTAAGGGGTCTGCTAAGCCATGCAGTGAGTGTGTGCAAGGGAAAGTGAGCAAACTTCCACATCCTAAGCACGAGGTTCGAGAACCCTATGGGGCACTCGAAGTCGTGGCTGCAGATGTCTGTGGACCACTGCGAGTAGCTTCCAGGCATGGGAGTAGGTATTTCCTCACATTCAGGGTATGGGGCTGTATGGTCCAATATCAAGAGCTGGTTGGTCCTGAGCACAAGCTGTTGCCAAGGACCAGGTGGGGCATAAACCTCGGGATATGTCTTAACAGTAAGGGCTGGGTGGTGAAGGACGTGGAGACTGGGAAGGTGCTGATTACTCGGGATACTACTTTCTATGAGGATGTCACTTATCCCTAGTGGAAAGGCTTGAGCCAAGAGTCAGCAAAGGCAGCAAAAACAATGGAGGAACTGCTGGAGGAGGCTAACTAGGAAGGATTAGGAACAGCAACAGCAAGTAGCGAGGAGGAGACCGAGGAAGAGCAGATTGGGGCTGAGATGGAATGGGAGTGGCACCCGAAGGAGGTAGAGCAGAGGGTAGCGAGCGAAGAGCTAGCAAGACTAGCCATGCAGCCCGTACAGGAGGAGGTAGAGAGCAGGGCAGGACACCATGAGGAAGAGGAGAGTCAGCTGAAGGAGCAGAGGGCACACAAGGGAGTAATACTACAGCTGGAGAAGGGAATGATCCATGGAGGTTGATGGCGAGTGCTAGTGGCAGTCCAGCAGCTAAGCAGATAGACTCTTTGCTACAAGGAGAGATAGTCCTAGGACAAGAAGAGGAGGAGAGAGAGGAGCAGGAAGGAGCAGCCTCTAGCGAATGAGGGGATACGTCATAGGTGCCTACGGAGGAGTTAGGCAGGGGGAAGAGGGTGAAGAAGCCGAATCCAAAGTATGCACAGATTCTCATAACTGGATGCAGAGACATTCATTCCCATCTACTGCTCACTACCACCGCAACAGCCTTAGTATCACATGGGAGTAGAGCGGCAAAGGATCTGCCAGAGGAGCCGCTCACGATAGAGGAGGCTTTGACAGGACCGAACAAGGAACAGTGGCAAGCAGCCATAGAAGAAGAGCTTAATACGCTAGCAGAGAGGGGAACCTGGGAGCTAGTGCCACTGCCAGAAGGGAGGAAAGCAGTGGGGGTGAAGTGGATCTTCAAGATAAAGACAGGAGACTTGGGGCAGCTGGAAAGGTTCAAGGCAAGGCTCGTAGCGAAAGGGTACACGCAGGTAGAAGGCGTCGATTACACAGATACCTATACGCCTGTGAGTAGATTTACCATAACTATGGCACTTCTTGCAGTGATAGCAGCAAGAGATCTTCATCTGGTGCAATTAGACGTCAAGAATGCCTTCTTATATGGCGAGCTTCACGAGGACATTTACATGGAGCAGCCGTCGGGTAGAGATGATGGAACAGGACGGAAGTGTCGGCTTCTGAAAACTCTTTATGGGCTGAAGCAGAGTCCTCGGGAGTGGTATAGGGTTATGGGTAGGAGGCTACTCCAAGGAGGGTTTCGGAAGAGCGAGTGTGACAGGGCGTTCTATTGAAGAGGAGAAGGGAAGGAGAAGGTGTTCCTACTCCTATATGTCGATGACATATTGGTGGCAGGAGCGACAGAGGAGGATGTAGAGAGCATGTGCGCTCATCTAGCAGAGGTCTTTCAGGTGAAGCGGATTCCACGTGCTTCATTGTTCCTTGGGATGAATCTGGAGTGGAACAGGGATGAGAGGCAACTGATGCGGAAGCACAAGGGGTAGACACCGAAGCTGAGTTAGTCCGATGGGGAAGTCGAGAGGTTGCACTTAGGCAGTACCAATTGATGGTGGGCTCGGTGATGTACCCGGTGGCACGCACGAGGGTCGATGTAGCTTACACAGCTAGCTATCTTGGACAAAACGTGCAGCAAGCGGATGGGAAAAAGTGGAAGGAGATGGAGCGAACGATTAGTTACCTCCTACAACACGAGGACGAGGGACTATTGTTCCAAGGAGGAGAGGAGTCTTTACAGCTTGTAGGGTATGCAGACGCTTCACACGCTTCAGACCAGGAGACTAGGCGAGGAGCTTTTGGGTACGTTTTCCTTTTGGGTGGAACGGCAATCATGTGGCAGGCCAAGAAATTGGCAGACATAGCTTTGTCTAGCGCTGAAGCTGAGTATTTGGCGCTCTTCTACGCATGTATGGAGGGAGTTTGGTTGAGACGTCTACTCAAGGAGCTAGATCTTGGGCCAGAGAGTCCGACCACCATCCGGACGGATAGCCAGTCAGCGATGGACCTAGCTCGGAATGACGATTGGCATGGACGGACAAAACACATGGACGTTAGGTATCACTGGGTGTGAGAGCAGCTGGCGAACAAGAGTTTCAGGTTCGAGCATGTGAGAACAGAACGACAGCCAGCTGATTTCTTGACCAAGGTCCCACCTACACCTCGTTTCCAGCATTGTAAGAGAGAGGTGAGGTTACACACGTAGCTCAAGTGAGCAAGCTGCAAACCACAGGGGAGGTTGTTGGAGGTGGTTCGCGCTTGCCCCTAGTCAACGCGCGGCAGCTTGAACAAATGGCATAAGCTAGGTGGCAGTGTGGCAGCGCTAACAGGTGGCGTAAGCTGAAGACTACATATGGGTGTGCTAGGTGGTGAGGGGCTGCAGGGTTACGTGTTGGAAGGAGGAGGTGTTTGGGACACGCGGAGGACTTGTGAGCGACGAGCAGAAATTGGTATAGTGACGCGGTGTTCGGAGGAGCTGAAATGCGGTTCGGTTACGTTGTGTGAAATGCGGTTCGGATGAGCGCTACGCAATGTCATGTGGCTTAGGAAAAAAATCCATACAAATCTGTTTCTTTGTATCTCTTTGTATATAGTGAATCTGAAAATTCTCCCTCACGTCGTGCTGCCTGTTTGCAACCAGAACTTGACTGGCGGCGTTAAGTCTACCCTTAGTACTTGCGAGAGTGTTGTCGGGTATTCGTTTGGAGTGTAAGAGCGACCTGAAAGCAGCGAGAGCGCTGCCGGAAATTCTAACACGTCAGTCGGTGCGCTACTCTGTGGATCGGAGGCCATCGCCTTGTTCCGAGTGAGGCCTTGAGCTGGCGAAGCTTCCAGGCAGTATTAAGCCGTGGCAGATAGTAGGAGGAGGTATTCTGAGACGAGGTTTGCTGTAAGAGTAGGTAGAGGGACTGGATATGATAGGCACGGGGAGGATGATGGGAAGGAACGCAACGGGAGGAAGCAATCTCAACAGCATTTAGGCAGGCCATCGCGCTCGACCCAGGCCATGGCGCTGCGGCAATCTCTTAGCTTGATCCAAGCTGTGGTGGGAATGGGATTACTATGGCTGCTTGCTGGCTTGGTAGGCGGATTGGATTGGGAGGGACCACTTCAACGTTATGAATGCCACACAGGCGAATCTGGCGAACTCCACGAAGCGAAGGTGATGTGGTCAGGACTGGCGACGCTCGCTTAGTTTTCGTTGAGACGCTGTCGTGGTTCAGCGAATGCCAAGGGCGAATGAAGCTGTGCCAATCTGGCCTCATGAACTCACATGGTTTGCTGGAATTTTCAGTCGTCGCACTGCACCTTGGGCTTGTGAGTATCTGGAAGGCCTGCATACGCGATAGGGTACAGCCCCAAGGATTTTATGCGCTCTACTTTGTACAAGCCGCTCCTCGTTATACTCCCCACAATTACGACATACCATATCGTAATTTGTATGAATGTACGCTTATGATCGTCTTGCGCCTTGCAAATCTGCGACGTTTCGCTTGAACCGGATTTCAGTAACCCCCAGTGAGACACCTTAGCTCGCTACGGCAGTGGGCGAATGAGGCGAAACAAAAGGTTTCCAGTGCGAATCTCCCTTTTTTGCCCACATCTACTATCCATTGCCATCGCCTCCCAACCACTCATTTCCTGCTCTCCCCGCCCCATAAACGCAAAATTCCCCCAGAAGCCTGGCATGGGGGGGTGCAGCAGCATGAGCTCTCGTGAGAAAACATTAGCAAACATTACGACGTGTCAGAAGCATTTTTTTTTCCCTCGAAACCCTATCCAACCGCTTAAGGTTTTCAAAGAACCCCTTTCAAAACATCCCTCACCTTACTCAACCCGTAATAAAGTGAACGCTTAAGAACCCTGAGCTACTATCCGCATGTCACAAGACAGCGAAAGAGGTAATGAGGGCGCGGATTGGCATTGCCTTGAAGGAAAGAACGTAGTTTCCATTTCACACTGGGGTGAAACGGTCGTAAAGTTGTTCCGTCCACGCCTCGTTAGGTCGAAGTTCACTCTAGTTCCCCTTGCCCTGCATTCTCAGGGCATATTCCTACTTCAGCGCGTTCAGTACTAGGAACCGCACAGGAATTCGCATTTCGGCCCTCGGTGTTATGAGTGGGAATGGAACAACCACTCAATAATTGGAATACAACCTCAGAAAATAATGTTGTCACAAGTGACAAGCGAACTGGCTAAAATAGGGCACGGACGTGCTAGGACGAGCTAGGGCGAGAACCTCGGGATGTGAGATGGTTTGTATGGGAGGCGAGGGTGTCAGAACGCGACTCGGGGAGGTTTGGGCCGACAAAATAGGCCGAACCTGCGAGTTCAAGGTCTTCGGGTGTACGCGCTGTAGTTTAGCGCAATAAGGAATGTTAATTCCTTACACTCTCCCACCTTCTAGATAAGGCCTTCCGTGTATCGAAGGTCAAATCATTAAAAGTAGTCCCTGATGTGACTGTAGATCTTCAGCAGAGTGACGAGCGTAATGATTACGACGTCCTGACGAGGTCTTCAGGTCGAAATGTGATCGATGGTAAAAAAACGTCGAAACGATCGCTTTTAATCTTGGCCATCAAAGATTGTCGAATTCTTCAGCAAACCGAATAGGTACTGGCGAAAACTTCTCTTGAAACTGTCAACAGTCACTCTGGCTGTTGATGATGGTGCGTGGCTGATGAAGTCTTGTAATTAAAAAATGAGGGATAACGTAGCTGATGATTTGTCGAGATTGGAAGGAACCGTCCATCAAGACGCGAGGTCATTCGTAACACGTACAAGCACACGCGCGCGTTCGTGGCTCGCAAAAGTCGATGAACTCCATCAACGAATTGACGAACCTCGACGAGAAAGCGTAATTGAAACGAATATCGGCCATAGAGGGATGATGGAACACACCGGACGGGTCTTCAAAATTTTGCAGCACAGCTGCACTTCTCCCCCCCTCCAAGAAGAAACAGCTCCCAACGAGCCAGGTAAAACGCAAGGAAATTCCATGCGCCAAGGTAGTCGAAGTAAACCCATAATGCTGCTTAAAATTCCCACAACTCTGATTCGAAGATGCTTGAAAAACTCCAACCCGTAGAACTCTCCCGGGACTTAGCGAATCCCGCAACGCCGCTTCATTGCTACTCAAGTACCCCCAAACCGCTGGTGCTTAAGAGTTGCACCGCTGGTTTCGAAGAATTCCTCGTCAGACACAGGGCGTTTAGCAGTGCGCCGACGTTCACCCGTCATTGCGCCTGCCATGACACCAAAACAGGTCCTAGGCTTTCGCGCCTCGACAAGTAGCCACATCAACCAGGGACGACTCCGAAAAGCTCCCCGCACTCCGAAAACTTCGGAAACAGTGTCGAACTCCAGCTGGAACAGTGTTATCGCAGCTGCCCCGACAATCTCAGTAGTTCGTCGTTCACCTAACTCCCCGCATTTGCTGGTCGCAACAGAAATGCACGTGCGCCGGGCATACAACTCCCTTTTTTTTTTCAGAGTGTCGAACCCGCGATACTCCAGCATTTTCACCAGCACAGGTTAACCGCAGCTCTGTCCATGTTATTCGTCCAGGACTGTCGGAGTAGTATTAAACCCGAACTTGGAACCTGGTGTGAAAGATGTGAGCCGTTGGAAAGTCTCGGCCGATAGGTGGCCATTCTTATACCGCTGCTTAGCCTAACACGGGGGCATTCAGCTTGAGATTTCCGCTACACTGCCTTGCTCTTCCTGAAGTGTCAAATTTCCCCTCTCATCCAATCCGGTCTGTCGCATCTCCGTACGTTCTACCAGTAGAAACCCCCAAAAATCACGGGCACTATGCACCAAAGACGTTGTTTCATGGGGCGCTGGCCTGTCTCCAATGCTGTTTCCCTAGAAAACCGCAGACGCCACTGTCATTTTCTAGGAAATCGGCTTGGCGTGAAGATCGTCCACGACATCCGCAATTGTCGATGCCGATTTTATCCGTTGCCAGGAACAGCTGCCGCCGATACTGCAGAAACAATTGAGACGAAGGTGGCTGAGTCTGAACTTTTCGGAAGTAAACCGCACGCGCCGTCCCACACTGCGTCGCTCCTGCCATAAACTATTATCACGCGCCCACCTGGCAGCAATCCGCTCCAGTCCGGACGGGACAACACACCACTCCCGCATAATTTGGGTAGCTCGCACGTGTCGTCTCTCCTCGTCAGCATAACTCCTGACGCACATTCCTCGTGCACATGGCAAGGTCCGCAGCTGTCGTTTTCCCACGAAACTAGCCCCGCAATTTTCGCGAGCCGCTGACGAAGTATGCACGAGCTGTCTTGATAATTTCTTCACTGCGTGACGACGACGCCAGTTGTTAGAATGCAAGAATGAACTAGAATGTGAGAGTACAAGGCAAAATAGGCAAGTGTGTTGTAGCCTCTAAGGCATAAACCTATATAGTCTACAATAACATACTAAGTTATGTTTGACACACCCCCTAGACTATATAGGGGCAGTGCCTAACAAGAGAACAAGCAGCTCAGGGCGGCACTAATAGTCCAGCCTCTGAGGCAAGGGTCTAAAGACCAGTCGAAAGGAGTACAGACAAAACAGGAGCAAGACCAGGGCGGCACTACTAGTCCAGCCACAGGGAGAAGCCACAAGGCCAGTCTGGGTAATATATATATATATAAAGGTCTGTACACAATCAAGGTCCTAGGAAATGAGAGGCTACAGGAACAAGACCAAACTGGACGCAGTGCCGCTGATGATCTTTAGGCGCAAGCGGCTTCGTAAAGATATCAGCTGTGTTGGCACTGGAGGCCAAGTGTACTACTCGAGCCTAGCGACGCAGCTGTAGCTCGCGCAGGAGGAAGTTCCGCAGCTGGATGTGCTTCGCTCTGCCCTCAAGTCGAGGCTCCTAACATAGGAGGATCATGGCCCTATTGTCAGCGTACAGGACCGGGGCAGAGCTAGGCCGCTCACCTAAGACAGTCAGCAAGAAGGTCAGCCAGCGGAGCTCCTGTGCCGCCATGGCACCGGCGTAGATCTCAGCCTCGCAGCTGGACTGGGCAACAGACGAGGAGCGGGTAGCTCTCCACGAAACAGCACCTGAACCAAGGCTAAAGCAGTAGCCCTGAGAGGACCTGAGAGTCTCTGCGTAGTCTGCCCAAGAAGCATCTGTGTGCCCAGTAAGGACCACTGGCCTGCGACCTCCCAGTACTAGCCCCATGCCCGATGTACTTGCAAGATAACGCAAAACCCTCTTTGCGGCAGACCAGTGGTGTGGTCGGTGTCTGCCTGTGGCCACAAAGTGAGCCAGGATGCTGAGAGGGTATGCGAGATCTGGGCGAGTGCAAGTCACCAGGTACATGAGGCAACCCACCAGCTGTGCGTACGGACCACTGGGCTCTACTGACTCCTCAGGAATAGGAGCTGAGAGCCTGTAGTCCACTGGCAGAGGTGTGGGCTGTGCAGAGGAAAACTGAAGACCGAACCGCTGAAGGACTTGGCGCACCAGGTGTGACTGTGAGAGTGTGATGGTGCGCGCTGCTCTGTCCCCGGAGATCTGCAGGCCAAGGTAGTGGCGCAATTCTCCTATGTCAGTGCAGGTGTGTCTCTTCAGCAGCTCTACCTTCACGAAGGCCAGTGCGTCACTGTTTGCAGTAGCGAAGACCAGGTCGTCTACGTAGACAAGGATGTAGAACGGGGTCTGGCCAGCACGAACGAAGAGCGAGGGGTCAGCAGAGGACGGGAAAAACTGCAGGTCAGCAAGGGTAGCACGCAGTGTGTCGTGCCCTTCACGGGGCGCCTGTCGCCGGCCGTAGACTGGGTGCCGAAGTAGCCACTGGGTCCCAGGAGGGAAGGTATCAGTAAAACCCAGAGGGCGGCGCAGGTAGACCTGCTCGTGAAGGCTGCCCTGAAGAGAAGTTGTGGAGAAGTCGAGGGAGTGTAACTCGTAGTCGCGCTGTGTTGCTATGTGCAGCAGAGCCCGAAGAGTAGTGATCTTCGGGGTCGGCGCGAAGGTCTGAAAGAAGTCCACCCCCCCACGCTGACTGAAGCCTCTAGCCACGTAGCGCACCTTGAAGACAGGCGGCTCTCCAGGGTGGCGCTTCACCTTGAAGAGCCAGCGGCCATCGACTACGTTCACCCCAGGTGGGGGAACATCGTCGACGAAGGTGCCGGTGGATCTCCAAGATGCCATCTCCTGCTCCATGGCAGCTATCCACTGAGAGGCCCAGGGTCCTGAGGTCGTCAGCGTAAGTGCGAGGGGTCGGGATGTCAAAAACGTCTGGGTCACCCTCAGGGACTAGCAGCATGGAGCAGAGATGGGGAGCAGCCTTAGACAGGAAAGCAAGCTCGTACTGCCGGTCCTCTAAAACGTCACTGCCGAGGGCAGGAGCACCCCCGACGGACGGAGGACAGGTAGGGTCAGAGACCAGAGCGGTGGCGTAGTCAAGGCGGCAGGTAGAGGCGAAGTCAGCGACAGCAGTGACAAGAGCGTCAAGATGCAAAACAGGAACAGACAGGTCGGTAACGAGGGAGGCAAGGACCCTAGGAACAAGAGGACGAGTGGCACGAAGGTAGTCAGACAGAGGGGGAGGCGCGACAACAAGGGAGGACGGAGGAGGCGACGGCAAGAGGTGAGGACGAGCAGGCGAAGGGCTGACATCGGCGGCGACTCCTGCTGCGACGGCTGCACGACGCCGACACCTGGTCCGCCAGCTGCTCCACGGCTACCTCCAGAACAATCCACTCCAGCACCCCCAGAACCAGAAGCTCGCACAGCACTGGCACCACCCCCAGGCCCGCCAGTACAAGCCACGACAGGAGCCCCAGGACTAGCACCCTCCTCAACGAGAGCACCCCTAGAAAGCACGAACTGCTGCTGCGGCGGCGAGAATGGTGGCCACTGCTGCAGTGGCGACGACGACGGCTGCAGCTGTGATGACGGCTGCGGCTGCGACCGCTGCTGCAACAACGACTGCGTCTGTGACGTAGGACCACCAGAGAAAAAAGCAGACTCCTCAACCGGGACAACCGACGGGAGGGGGGTCACGTGAGACACACCAAACGGGGCAGGGCGGGGAGGAGGGGGGGCATGGCCGATCGGGGGAGGGGGGACCAGAAACAGGGGGGAGGTAACCGAGGGACCACGGTGCGGAAAGCACTGGTAGAAGGAGACGGACTCGTCAAAGGTGACACCTCGAGAGTGAAAGAAACGGTGGGACGGGGGTTGGTAGAAGTGCCAGTCAGACGAGTCGAGGGGGAAACCTAGGAAGACACAGGGGAGTGTGCGGGCAGTGAGCTTGTCCGTGCCAGAGGCACGAACGTGAGCAAGGCAGCCCCAGACGTGGAACACAGATGCGTCACCAGGAGACCCGTCCAGAGGAGGGTCGGCGAAGCCTACGGCCGCTGAGGGTGCGGCCACAGGTTTAGCTGATGAGCGGCGTAGCGAACTGCGAACTGCCACAGAAAATTGGGTGCATCGGCATGGATTATGGAGGTACGAGCCACCTCCATGACCAAACCGATGCATCGCTCAGTGACCCCATTCTGCTGCGGGGAGTCCGGCAGGGTGAACGTCTGGGTGATGCCCTCCGCACGACAGAAGCGACCAAGGCAGCCAGAAGCAAACTCACCACCACGGTCGGAGTGAAGACGCAAGACAGGGAGACCTCGGTGAACACGCGCAGAGACAAGCCATGGGATAAGAACGTCAGGCACGTTCGCCTTCGGCTCCAAGGGAAACACAGTGGTGTAACGAGTGTAGTCATCAACAAGAACGAGGAAGTAACGCTCACGATGCGGCCCATGGACGGGGGCAGGGCTCCAGACGTCCATGTGCAAGGTCTGCAAGGGTGCGGTGGTTGGGGGGAACGAGGAGGAGTGACGGGGAACGAGGAGGAGTGAGGGGCACGGCGGAGCCGGCCCTCGACGCAGGGGGTCCACGGTGGCGCAGGTGAGGAGGGGAGCTCGGGGAACGGCCTAGGAAGAACTAAAACAAGACCGTGCTGAGACATGTGACGAAGACAAGGGAGGGCAGGGTGACCTAGACGGTGGTGCCACAGGAGTGTCGGGTGAGCAAGCGACCGACACGAGCAAGCCGCAGCTACCTTAGGAGACACGGTCACCTTGGGAGACGCCCCAACTGGGGGGGGCGCGGTGTCCAGCGTGAACAGGCCAGACACCGGGTCCCGGGGGAACGTGGTGAGGGGAGCACCAGTCGCGGCCTCGGTACAGAGAGCGTACCGCTCGTGACCAGGGAACGTAGTGGTGACGCCAAGGTCCTAGAGGAAGCCGACTCCAACTAGGTTCCTAGGGAACGAGGGGATGTGCAGGCCTGTAAGGGAGCCCGAAGGAGCCGCCGGACAGGGAAGGGTAGTGGAGCTACGAGCTACGAGAGGGCCTGAGGAAGGGTCAGTTAGGGAAATTGCGGCGGGAGCGGCAAGCGGCGCGAGGGTAGTGGAGTCCCGGAAGAAGCACCTGGAAGCGCCAGAGTCCAGGGTGAAGGAGAGCGCAGCAGAGGCGAGAGAGGTCGAGGAAGCGACGGAGGAGCCTAGACTAAACAAAGCAAGGGATCATACGCCTGACGCAGCAGGGGAGTCTAAGCTAGGCACACCTACACAAGGCAACACGGGGTAAGGTGAACCAATCACACTAGAGTCATCGACATACAGAACATACAGCGCTGAGCTAATCTCGTCCATGTCCATATCAAAGACCTGAACACGCTGACGGAGTAAGCTGAGCCAGTCGGGGAGGTCGGGCGACGGGCCGAACGGATGACGAAACAGGTCGTCAAGGCGATTGAAACAGCGAGTGGTGGTGTGACCGATCTTACCGCACACGAGGCCAGGGCGAGGACCAGTCTGGAGCTGGTACTGGCAGCGCCCATCGTCCGCACCACCACCCGCCGTCACGCCGCTCGCACGACCAGCGTGACCACCACCACCACCAGCGCCGGGCCACCCGGGCGGGAGGCGACCAACCCGCCGCTGCTGCTGCTGCGGCAGCGGCTGCTTCTGCTGCTGCGGCTGCTGCTGCAGTGGCTGCTGGTCGAGCGAGAGGACCTGCTGCTGCTGCTCGGTGGTGCTAGGCCTAGTGCCCTCGTCAGCACCCCCAGCGGGCGACCCGGCTCCACCACCTCCTCCACCCCAACCACCCCCACCACCACCACCGCCGCGCCCAGCCTTGGGGCGGCGGCCCTTTCGAGGACGGGCATGTACTGCAGCGGCCGTCTCAGCCACTACAGCAGAGCCGTCAGAGAAAGTGCACTGTGCGGGCGCACAGCCCTGAAAGATAGAGACCGGCACTGTACCGCTGGACTGTGCGATAACGCGCTGGCGAGTCTCTATGGCAGACAGGGTGTCAACAAAGTCAGTGAGGGTGAGCTCTGTAGGGTGGATACTAAGAAAGTGATCGCGGGCAGTAGCAAGGCGGTCAGGGAGGCGGGTGGCAAGCAGGTAGAGGGCATGGCGGAGGGGGGCTGAAACACAGAGAGTTGGGCCTCAGTGTAGGCTGAGCGCCGCGTCGAGTCTAGCGTGCGCAAGTGGGCGGCTAGGTCAGCGACAATTGGGAAAGACGCGAGATCAGGGAAAAGCAGGGGCAAGATCAGGCGGCCTACGGAGGCAGAGGACGGGATGGAATAGCGAGCAATGATAGCATCGAGAAACTCCTGTGCGGTCCTGATCGACCTAAAGCGGGGACGCTCAGACAGGGGAAGCGCATGACTGATGGCAAGCTGTGCAACAGCGTAACGCGACAACCAGACCGAACGAGCAAGGGCAGCGGCTGCAGCGGACTCTCGATCAGTAGACGTGGGGTCAGCGGGCAGCGGAGCCGGGGGGTCAGGATAGGGGAGCGTACCATCAAGGTGGACGGCCAAGGAGTGGCTGTCCGGCAGGTGACCTGTGAGGTGACGGCGGAGGTCGACGAGCCACGTGTCGAACTCGATCGGCTGACCCTCCGCGTCAAACCGCAGCATAGCGTTCGCCATCAGGAGCGATGCAGCTGCGGTGCAGTGCGGTGTAGGGCGGCGCAGTGCGATGCAGTGCGGTGCAGAGCTGTGCAGTGCGGTACAGTGCGGTACAGTGCGGTGCAGTGGGGTGTCAAGGCCTAGCGCAGAGATGGGCGCGGGCCGGGGACGGTGCGGGCGCGGGCCGGCTAATGGACGGGCGCGAGGCCGGTGACGGATGGGCGCGGGGGCCGGCGAACGGACGGGCGCGGGCCGGGGAACGGACAGGCGCGGGGCCGGCTAACGGACGGGCGCGAGGGCAGGCGAACGGACGGGCGCAGGGGGGGGCCGGCTAACGGACGAGCGCAGGGGCTGTTACGAACGGGCGCGGGGGCCGCTACGAGACGAGTGCGGGGGCCGTTGCGGGACGGGCGCGGGGGCTTCTACGGACGGGCGCGGGGGCCGCTACGGGCGGGCGCGGGAGGGCCGCTACGGACGGGCTCGGGGGCGGTTAACGGACGGGCGCGGGGGCCGCTACGAACGGGCGCAAGAGGGCCGCTACGGACGGGCGCGGGGGCGGCTAACTAACGGGCGCGGGGGCTGCTACGGACGGGCGTGGGGGCGGCTAACGGACGGGCGCGGGGGCCGCTATGGGTCGGGCGCAAGGGCCGGCTAGGAGGCGTGCACGGGGCCGGCTAAGGGACGGGCGGCTAGGACCTAGGGCGGAAGCGATGGTGGGCGAGCGGGACCTAACCTACTCATGATACCATGTTAGAATGCAAGAATGAACTAGAATGTGAGAGTACAAGGCAATATAGGCTAGTATGTTGTGTTGTGATATATGAAGTTTTGCATTCCTGCAAGTTCTATTTTTGGTGTAGCTCGCAGTATCGCGTTTCTCAGTAAGCAACCATGCCCGAGTGCTGATGTCAGCACAGCATCGCGGGTCTCGGGGATGACGTCAGCATACCGCTTCAGTTACGCGATTAGGCGTAACGAATCGTTTCAGTCATGCGAACAGTCGCGACCCTATAGAATGACGAATAGGTCGAATAGCGCGCAACTAGCCGAACAGGTACTTTCCCTAGAGCTATAAATCCTTGTAATGCCTTTCTATTATTAACCTTGACTTTCCACAGAATTATGTGCTCAGGTTATTCAACCTTTGACTACCCACAAGTTCATGTGCTCAGGTTCACTCTTATAAGACTTCCGCTGTCTTACTAGTCTACCATTCCAGCAAAGATCCTTGGTTAAGTACTTGTGGTTGCAGATTCTATACTTAGTCTCCTGCAAACACCTAAGCAAAATATTTCATGTTGTACCCTCTAAGGCACAAACCTATATAGTCTACAATAACATACTAAGTTATGTTTGACACCAGTTGCCGCTCCAAACAATTGAAATGAACGCCGCCACTAAAATTACGTGGCAAAAACTCACAACAGACACAGCTGTCCGTTCCCGGGGGGAGGGCGGGGTACGACCAATTCAGGTCGTCCAAAGGCAAGGATCGAGTCGAGTGGCTTAGAGGTGCACACGCTATCGTAGTTGTAGGAGCTAATCATATCTAGCTATTATACGTGCTGTAGTTTAGCGCATGAAGGAATGTTAATTCCTTACAGTTGGACCTCTCTGTATCGCGTTGCAGACTCGATTTCGGGTTTGCTGGTAGGTACTGAACACTGTCCTGTGGGAATACGCCCTCAGAACTTGTGGCGATGGCAAGCTGGTTCGGAAAGGCCGGTTGAGTCTGAGGCGCCTAAAAAATATGGCAGTCTTTGTCAAACATGTTTAGTTATCATGCTTGTATAGACTGTATAGGGTTATCTTCTAGAGAGTACAACATTTAGGTATATGTTTGTGTACTCTCTCTCACTATTCATAAATTTCACTGTTTGTTATGGTATCACGCGTAGGTAGGATCCCCCCCCCCCCCCCCCTCACGCTTCCGCTCGCCCCCTAGCTGGGCCCCGTCGTGCTCCTAGCCCCGTCGGGACCCTCCCTAGCCCCGTCGCGACCCTCCCTAGCCCCGTCGCGCCCCTTCCTGGGCCCCGTTGCGCCCCTTTCTGGGCCCCGTCGCGCTCCTCCCAGGCCTCGTAGCGCCCCTCCTGGGCCCCATTGCGCTCCTCCCAGGCCCCGTCGCGCCCCTTCCAGGGCTTCGTAGCGCCCCTCCAAGCCCCGTCGCGCCCCTTTCAGGGCTTCGTAGCGCCCCTCCAGGCCCCGTCGCGCCCCTTTCAGGGCTTCGTAGCGCCCCTCCAGGCCCCGTCGCGCCCCTTCCAGGGCCTGGTAGCGCCCCTCCAGGGCCCCGTCGCGCTCCTCCCAGGCCCCGTAGCGCCCCTCCTGGGCCCCATTCCGCTCCTCCCAGGCCCTGTCGCGCCCCTCCCTAGCCCAGTCGCGCTTCTCCCAGGCCCCGTAGCGCCCCTCCTGGGCCCCATTGCGCTCCCCCCAGGCCCTGTCGCGCCCCTACCTGGGCTTGGTAACGCCCCTCCAGGCCCCGTCGCGCCCCTACCCATCCCCGTCGCCCCTGCTCGGCCCCGTCGCCCCTGCTCGGCCCCGTCGCCCCTGCTCGGCCCCGTCGCCCCTGCTCGGCCCCGTCGCGGCCTATCGGCCGCGTGGCGCCCGCCCGGCCCCTGTCGCGGCTGCCCGGCCCCTGTCGCACCTGCCCGGCCCCTGCTCGCCCGCCCGGCCTCGTCGCCCCTGCCCGGCCCTGCTGTGGCCTGCCCGGGCCCCGTCCCTGCCGCCCGGCCCCGTCGCCGCCGCCCGGCCCCGTCGCAGCCGCCCGGCCCTGTCGCAGCCGCCCGGCCACGTCGCAGCCGCCCGGCCACGTCGCAGCCGCCCGGCCCCGTCGCCCCTGCCCGGCCCTGCTGTGTCCGGCCCGGCCTCGTCCCTGCCGCCCGGCCCCGTCGCAGCCGCCCGGCCCCGTCGCAGCCGCCCGGCCACGTCGCAGCCGCCCGGCCTTGTCGCTGCCGCCCGGCCCCGTCGCCGCCGCCCGGCCCCGTCGCAGCCGCCCGGCCCCGTCGCCGCCGCCCGGCCTTGTCGTGCCTGCCCGGCCCCGACGCACCTGCCCCGGCCCTCCATACTTCCTGGTACTGTCCCCCGTTCCCCGCACCACTTTGCACCCTCCTGCACTTTCCTGCCCCGCCTTGCATCGCCTTGCACCTCACTGGATCGCACTGACCGCACTGCACCGCACTGGACCGCACTGCACCGCACTGCATCGCACTGCACCGCACTGGACCGCACTGCACCGCACTGCATCGCACTGCACCGCACTGCACTATCCTCCACTGCCCCTCATGGCTGCTGAGCTTCGTTTTGATGTTGAGGGTCAGCCTCTGGAGTTCGAGGCGTGGTTGGCTGACCTTCGCCGCCACCTCACTGGCCAGCGGCAGGACGGCCACCCGCTTTCTGCACACCTAGACGGTATGCTCCCCTGCCCTGACCCCCCTGCTGTGCTGCCCGCTGATCCCACGCCCGCTGAGCGCGAGTCCACTGCCGCTGCTGCCCTTGCCCGCTCTGTCTGGCTTTCCCGCGATGCCCTTGCTCAGCTCGCCATTAGCAATGCCCTCCCCCCCACTGAGCGCCCTCGCTTTAGAACCATTCCTACCGCCCAGGCCTACCTCGATGCTGTCATCAAGCGCTATTCTACCCCTCCTGCTGCCTCAGTGGGTCGCCTGATCCTTCCCCTGCTCTTTCCTGACCTGGCGTCTTTCCCCACTGTCTCTGACCTCGCTGCCCACCTGCGCTCGATAGATGAGGCCTGGCGCGCTGCCTGCACTGATGCTCAGCTTAGAGTCCACCAGCCTCCCATGACCTCTACCCTCTACCTCCTTGCCACCCGCCTACCTGACCGCCTTGCCGCCGCCCGCGACCAGTTCCTTAGCATCCACCCTGCTGCTCTCACCCTCACCGACTTTGTTGACACCCTGACTGCCATAGAGACTCGTCACCGCTCCATAGCCCTGGCGAGCGGTACAGTACCGGTCCCTATCTTTCAGGGTTGTGCCCCCGCTCAGTGTACCTTCTCCGACGGCTCTGTCGCTGTGGCTGAGACTGCTGCTGCAGTGCAGTCCCGCTCGGCGAAGGGCCGCCGCCCCAAGGTTGGGAGCGGCGGAGGCGGCGGGGGTGCGGGTGGGGGTAGTGGTGGAGGCGGGTCGTCCGGTGCCAGTGCGGACGTGGGGACCCTGCCCGGTCCAGCTGCCCCGCTGCCTCCACAGTTGCAGCAGCCGCAGCAGCAGCAGTCGCCGCAGCCGCAGCCTTCGCAGCAGCCGCCGCAGACGAGGCAGGCGAGTACTCTCCCACCTGGGTGGCCTGGAGCTGGTGGTGGTCGTGCGCGTGGTGGTGCACCGGGTGGTGGTTCTGGAGGCGGGCCCTGTCAGTACCAGATCCAGACCGGTCCTCGCCGCGGCTTCGTTTGCGGTAAGATCGGTCATTCTACTCCTCGCTGTTTTCGTCGCCTGGACGACCTGTTCCGCCAGCGCTTTGGCCCGGCGCCCGACCTCCCGGACTGGCACAGCTTGCTTAGGCGTAGCGTTAGGATTTTTGACTTGGACATGGATGCCATTGTAGCGGCCTTGCATGTGATGTATGCTGATGACTCTAGTGTGCTTCCCTCTTATTACCCCGTGTTGCCTAGTGTAGCGGTGCCTAGCGTAGACTCCCCTGCTGCGTCAGGCGTAGGATCTCCTGCTTTGCTTAGCCTTGGTGCTTCCACCGCTTCACTGCTGCCTCGCGCGACTGCTGCGCTTTCCTTCACCTTGGACTCTGGCGCCTCCCGGTGTTTCTTCCGCGACTCCACGACGCTGACGCCGCTGCCTGCTCCCGCTGCAGTTACTCTTGCTGACCCCTCCGGTGGTCCCGTCGTTGCCCGCAGTTCCACCTCCCTTCCCTGTCCGGCGGTTCCTTCGGGCACTCTCACAGGTCTGCATATCCCCTCGTTCTCCAGGAACCTAGTTGGTGTCGGCTGCCTCCAGGACCTTGGCGTCACCACTACGTTCCCTGGTCACGAGCGGTATGCTGTCTGTACCGAGGCCGCCACTGGTGCCCCCCTTACCACTTTCCCCCGGGACCCGGTGTCCGGCCTGTTCACACTTGACACCGCGCCGTCCCCGGCTGGGTCTTCCCCCCCGGTAGTTGCGTCCACCCAGGTTGCAGCCGCGTGCTCCTGTCGGTCCCTCACTCACCCGACTCTCCTTTGGCACCACCGCCTTGGTCACCCTGCACTCCCACGTCTGCGTCACATGTCCCAGCACGGTCTCGTCCTTGGTCTCCCCGGTTCGTTCCCCGAGTTTCCCTCCTCCCCCGCCCCACCGTGCACGCCTTGTGTCGAGGGCCGGCTCCGCCGTGCCCCTCACTCCTCCTCTTTTCCCCCTACCACCGCACCACTGCAGACTCTGCACATGGACGTCTGGGGCCCAGCCCCGGTCCATGGGCCGCGTCGCGAGCGCTTCTTCCTAGTGCTTGTCGACGACTTCACGCGCTACACCACCGTCTTCCCCCTGGAGCGGAAGGCCGACGTGCCTGACGTTCTCATCCCCTGGCTTGTCTCTGCTCGTGTCCACCGCGGTCTCCCTGCCTTGCGCCTTCACTCCGACCGGGGTGGCGAGTTTGCCTCAGGTGTCCTTGGTCGCTTCTGTCGTGCGGAGGGCATCACCCAGACGTTTACCCTGCCGGACTCCCCGCAGCAGAATGGGGTCGCTGAGCGACGCATCGGTTTGGTCATGGAGGTGGCTCGCACCTCCATGATCCACGCCGGTGCACCCCATTTTCTGTGGCCGTTCGCCGTGCGCTACGCCGCTCACCAGCTAAACCTGTGGCCGCACCCCCAGCGGCCGCAGGTTTCGCCGACCCTTCTTTGGACCGGGTCCCCTGGTGACGCGTCTGCGTTCCGCGTCTGGGGCTGCCTTGCTCACGTTCGTGCCTCTGGCACGGACAAGCTCACTGCCCGCACCCTCCCCTGCGTCTTCCTCGGTTTCCCCCTTGACGCGTCCGACTGGCACTTCTACCACCCGCCGTCTCACCGCTTCTTTCACTCTCGCGACGTCACCTTTGACGAGTCCGTCTCCTTCTACCGCCGCTTTCCCCACCGTGGTCCCCCGGTTACTCCCCCCCTTTTCCTGGTTCCTCCCTCCCTGGTGGTCCCTGCCCCTCCCCCCCCCCGCCCCCCCGTCCGGCCCCCTCTGGTGTGTCTCACGTCACCCCCCTCCCGTCGGTCGTCCCGGTCGACGAGTCTTCTGACTCTGATAGTCCTCCGGCGCAGTCCTCGCCGTCTGTCCCTCCCCCGGTGTCTCCTCCTCCACCGCCTCCGCAGCCGCCGTCGCCGCAGCTGCTGCAGCCGTCGTCTCCACCGCCGCCGCCGTTGCAGCCGTCGTCTCCGCCGCCGCCGCCGTCGCAGCCGTCGCTGCAGCCGCCGCCGCCGCCGCCGCTGTCGTCGCTGCCGCCGTTTGTGGACTCTGGGGGTGTCCCTTCTGGGGGTGCAGGTGTGGAGGGTTCGGGAGGTAGCCGTCGCGCAGCTTGTGGCCCTGGTGTTGGTGTTGTGTCGCCGCAGCAGCAGTCCCCGCCTGTGTCCGCCCTCCGTCTGCTCGGCCTTCCGTCTCCTGACCCTGCAACTGTTCCTCTCCTGCCGTCTCCCCCTCTTCCCGTCTACGGCCCCGTGTTCCCTCTGCCAGACTCGTCCCCGGCTCGTCTTCCCCCTCGTTCCCCTCCTGTGTCCCCTCCTCTGTCTCCTGACCCGACGCCGCCCTCACACGTCTGGTCTCGCCGCCCCTCTCGTGCTCGTCCTGTCTCCCCTGTCCCGCGCTCTCACCCTATGTTGCTCCGTTCCCACGCGTCTCGACCTCCCCTCCTCCCGTCTCCTCCTCCGTCTTCTCTTGTCGTTGCGTCTCCTCCTCTGTCCGACTCCTTTCGTGCCGCTCGTCCTCTTGTTCCTCGGGTCCTTGCCTCTCTCGTTACCGACCCGTCTGTTCCCGTGTCGAGTCTTGACGCCCTCGTCGCTGCGGTCGCTGACTTCGCCTCTACCCGCCGCCTTGACTACGCCACCGCTCTGGTCTCTCACCCTGCCTGTCCTCCGTCTGTCGGGGGTGCTCCTGCCCTCGGCAGTGACGTCCTGGAGGACCGCCAGTTTGAGCTTGCTTTCCTGTCCGAGGCTGCTCCCCATCTCTGTTCCATGCTGCTAGTCCCTGAGGGTGACCCAGACGCTTTCGACATCCCGACCCCTCGTACTTACGCTGAGGCGGTTTCGGGACCCTGGGCCTCTCAGTGGATAGCTGCCATGGAGCAGGAGATGGCATCTTGGAGATCCACCGGCACCTTCGTCGACGCAGTTCCCCCACCTGGGGTGAACGTGGTCGATGGCCGTTGGCTCTTCAAGGTGAAGCGCCCTCCTGGAGAGCCGCCTGTGTTCAAGGCGCGCTACGTGGCTAGAGGCTTCAGTCAGCGCGAGGGGGTGGACTTCTTTCAGACTTTCGCTCCTACCCCGAAGATGACTACTCTTCGGGTGCTGCTACACGTAGCGGCTCAGCGTGACTACGAGCTTCACTCCCTCGACTTCTCCACTGCCTTTCTTCAGGGCAGCCTTCACGAGCAGGTCTACCTGCGTCGCCCTCAGGGCTTTACTGGCACCTTCCCCCCTGGGACCCAGTGGCTTCTGCGGCGGCCAGTCTACGGCCTGCGCCAGGCGCCTCGTGAGTGGCACGACACTTTGCGTGCTACCCTTGCTGACCTGCAGTTCTTTCCGTCCTCTGCAGACCCCTCGCTCTTCGTTCGTGCTGGCTCGACTCCGTTCTACATCCTCGTCTACGTAGACGACCTGGTCTTTGCCACTGCTGACAGGGACGCACTGGCCTCCGTGAAGGCAGAGCTGCTGAAGAGACACACCTGCACTGACCTTGGAGAGCTGCGCCGTTACCTTGGCTTGCAGATCTCCAGGGACAGAGCCGCGCGCACCATCACCCTGACTCAGTCACACTTGGTGCGCCAGGTCCTTCAGAGGTTCGGCCTTCAGTTCTCCTCCGCACAGCCCACCCCTCTTCCTCTGGACCACAGACTCTCCGCTCCAGTTCCTGAGGAGTCGGTAGATCCCAGTGGTCCTTACGCTGAGCTAGTGGGTTGCCTCATGTACCTGATGACTTGCACTCGCCCAGATCTCGCATACCCTCTCAGCATCCTGGCTCGTTTCGTGGCCACAGGCAGGCACCGACCTCAGCACTGGTCTGCCGCTAAGAGGGTTTTGCGTTATCTTGCAAGTACATCGGGCATGGGGTTAGTGCTAGGCGGACGCAGGCCAGTGGTCCTTACTGGACACACAGACGCTTCTTGGGCAGACGACGCCGAGACGCTCAGGTCTTCCCAGGGCTACTGCTTTAGCCTTGGTTCAGGTGCTGTCTCGTGGAGAGCTACCCGCTCTTCGTCTGTTGCCCAGTCCAGCTGTGAGGCCGAGATCTACGCCGGTGCCATGGTGGCACAGGAGCTCCCCACACCATACACAAAGCCAGCACCTGCAATGCTAAAGAAGAAGATGTGCTAGCAGCAACATTTAAATTCCAGGAGTCGTGACAAAAAACCTTCCGAAGTGCCCAATCTTAAACAACCGCATTTGCACAAACCCGCGCGTTTGAAATAGCCCCCCCTTTGCCCTTGCTGGGTAATTCTCTTCCTTTCCTGACATTAGCAAGTTGATGACTTGATAGTCACACGGGGACACTGACAGGTATAGCAGGTTGGTAAGGCTGCCAAGCGATGCTGGAATGGAGCCCTCCATGCGGTTGCTGCTCAGAAATCTGAAGTGGCAGAATGAGCAAAAGGCCCATACAGCTCTCAATAGGGCCACAGACAGAACCGTCAGGTCGGGCTGAAATTGGTCGCATAGGTACTTCTTCACAGCGTGAGATTCTGCTAGAGGTGGGAAATTTTGTGCAAACCAATCTGTGGCAGCTGGGAGGGTGGGTCTTAGGCGAGCACAGCACAGACCTATGGAGGCGGGCATGGCATGTGAGCCCACGATTTGCAAGTTGCAATAGAGTGTACCAGTGGGGTGCAAGCAAGTTGTCCTGGGCACAACAGGTCCGTGGGTCTGTGACGCTGCCCTGCAGTGACAGAACGAAGGTGCTGCAGCAAGGTGGCATGCACACCATACGTGAGAGCAGAGCACAATGGCTTGCTTGTCGGACCCACTCACAGGTCCTTCAGCCTGGTGAGGTCGCCCAGTGATGGCAGGATGGGCCCACTCAGCTCATTGCGGTCCAAGTACCTGCAAGGATGCATGCACACATGCACAGACCTATGGGATGTGGTGATACAGCATGCATGTGGCTCTGCGTGCATGGCCCTCATGAAGAGGATATAATGCTTCAAAAAAGAGGAGACACGACGTGCATGGAAGTCCCGGGCACAAGAGTGGCAGTCAAAGGAACAACACAGCCGTTGGTGTCAGACTCATCGGGAACAGATTGAATGGGAAAGCATGGCGTAGGAGATGAGAGCAATAGATGAGTCATGTTTGTGCAACGACATCCATTAAAAAAAAAAAATATATATATATATATATATATATAAAAACAACAAAAACAACAACCACACCAACAACTAAAGGTTAACTGCTATTATTAGGCCCGTGTGCAGAGCAAGTGAGCGCTGACTCACGCAGTCTGCAGGTTGAGGAGCTTTCCAAGGGAGGATGGAAGAGTGCCGTTGAGCTTGGTCAATGTCAACCCGCTGCCCACAGGCCAAGCGAGATGGGTGAGACACGCACAAGGGGGTGCTTCTTGCTGAAGTTGAACGCCTACGAAGCAAGGGGTTTCGCTCTTAGACAGTCCTAGGGTTTTGTACGAGAGCCCTTCCTGGCCTTCGTAGTCAACAGATACTCACAGAGATGGTCAAACATCCCCCCCCCTCCCCCCCCCCAGCTTACAAACGCACAAACAGCCATCGAATCACATACATATATGAAAGCACCAATGTAGAGTGATGCTGCAGGGGAGGGGCAGGGGCCAGCAGTGTGAAGTGAAGTGCGCTACACACTGCTGTCTCCTACATTCTACCTCTACCACCAACCAAGGATGCCCCGCCAGCCTTGACCTTGGGGGGCTGCAGATAGCCACCAGGAGCTCGGCGGACCACATGGGCTCGTGTGAGTGAGCCAGACAGACAGCAGTGCTTCCTAAGGCCATGCATGCACCTCACTCATCCCCTTGTGCCCCAAGCTCACAGATCACAACAACAAGGCGGAATGAGTTGGGGGCATGTGTACGAAGAGATACCATCCCCAGTGCAATCATGAACATCCGTGCGTGGCTGCATGTGCCAATGGAGCCCATAGAGGTAAGCTAAGATTCCAGGCACATTTAGGCAGCGCAGAGGTCTCTTACAGGTACCAGAGACGCGAGAGGCTGCTAATGGAGTTCGGAATCGACCCTGAGATGCTGTTGACAAGGAATTGGCTGCTTGGAATAGATGGGAGAGAGAGTGTGTGTTGTGGAGAAGAGAGGCAAGGCACGGGCATTGAGTGCGCAGGGGAGAACGAGATGTCATGGTAGTGAGGGAGATGATGCCATGGTAGTGAGGGAGATGATGCCATGGTAGTGAGGGAGATGATGCCATGGTAGTGAGGGAGATGATGCCATGGTAGGGCTGCACTGTAGCCCATACATACATGTGAGTTAGTGCTAGCGGCCACAGAAAACTGAATCCACTCCTTAACTCCCTAGCTCAATGCTTCACGATCAGTAGCTGTTCGCACGGAGAAGGAATACAGCCGTAGTATTAGCGGCGCGCATTGATGCAGCAAGGGTGGCACTGACTGACATGATCTGGAGGCTGGTCATGGCGCCGATGGTGCTTGGGATGGTGCCAGTCATTTGGTTGTTGGTGAAACCTCTGCAGGTGAGACACCAACACACAGAACGAGATTGCCAACACACAGAACGAGATTGCCAACACACAGAACGAGATTGCCAACACACACTGTGAGCCTGAAAGCCCCACATACATGCGTGCAGCTGGGACGCTCCTGTGACTGGACACCATGCATGCATGTTCCACAAAGCGCTCCCACACAGCGGCAAGCAGGCAGGATCACAGGCAGACACAGCTGCAACATGGATGAACGTGGCTCAACCGTGAGCCATGAGGCCATGGCCCTCAGATCCAAGAGAAACGAGAATAGGTCAATGGGGGCGGGATGGATGGGTGGGGCGGGGGGGGGGGGTGGGGATGGGGGATGGGTAGAGGAAGAGGAGCTTACATGTATGCTACGTTGGTGAGGTTTCCTATAGAAGTCGGTATGGAGCCACTCAGCTGTGTTGTGTGAAACGCACTGTTGGCAAACAGGGGACAAGGCAGTTGAAAATGGTCAAAGGCAGCAGGAGCGTAGGTGATACTAGCCAAAGGATAAATAGGAAGAAGAGAGAGGGTGAGAGTACGATGAGGTACTTACAGGTGGGTGAGAGAAGCGAGGTTGCCAATGGACGCGGGAAGGCTTCCAGTGAAGGCGTTGGCGTTGATGTCTCTGATGGGAAGCAGGCATGGTGAGGGATGGTGAGGGATGGTGAGGCATGGTGAGGGATGGTGAGGCATGGTGAGGGATTGTGAGGGATGGTGAGGGATGGTGAGGGATGGTGAGGGATGGTGAGGGATGGTGAGGGATGGTGAGGGATGGTGAGGGATGGTGAGGGATGGTGAGGGATGGTGAGGCATGGTGAGGGATGGTGAGGGATGGTGAGGGATGGTGAGGGATGGTGAGGGATGGTGAGGGATGGTGAGGGATGGTGAGGGATGGTGAGGGATGGTGAGGGATGGTGAGGGATGGTGAGGGATGGTGAGGGATGGTGAGGGATGGTGGTGAGGGATGGTGAGGGATGGTGAGGGATGGTGAGGGATGGTGAGGGATGGTGAGGGATGGTGAGGGATGGTGAGGGATGGTGAGGGATGGTGAGGGATGGTGAGGGATGGTGAGGGATGGTGAGGGATGGTGAGGGATGGTGAGGGATGGTGAGGGATGGTAAGAAGCGTGGCGACAGAAGCAGTGACAACGAGGCTATGGTGAAAACTGGAGTTCTAGAACGCCTGTGCCTCCTACTCAAGTGTGCGATGCATCTCGTGGCCGGGAAGTAGGAAGTGAGCGGCATGACATGCCAAAGCAGCCCTGGCGTACAACCTGAGAGGCTCACAGGTCAACGAGGTTGGTGAGGCGAGTGATGGAGGCAGGGATTGAGCCAGTGAGGTCGTTGTTTACAAGCAGCCTGACAGATGAAATGAAATGCACCATTGACAGTTATGTTCGGGAAATGGCAGTCATGAGGGTTGCGCTCGTTGCGGGACTTAACCCAACACCTCACGGCACGAGCTGACGACAGCCGATACCCGTTGAACTACAGCCTGCTAGCCTAGGCTCTGTTCGGTTGTGGCCTTGTATGAGGTTGTGGCGCTGTGCCCACTAAAGTGTGTGATGCATCTCGTGGCCGGGAAGGAGGAAGTGAGTGGCATGACAACGCAGCACTGGCATACAGCCTGAGAGGCTCACAGGTAGATGCGGATGAGGTTGTCGTGACTCGTGAGGCGAGTGATGATGGCAGCAGAAGTACAACAACAGCCAGTCAGGAGCAGCCTTATGACATGAAAGAATTCACGGAATGAGACTTACAGGCGAGTCAGTTTGATGAGGTCGCCGATCGAGTTGGGCAGGGGGCCTCCCAGGGTTTTTTGCTCGATTGTTCTGCCACAAATATATGCATCACATTTATATCAACTGCCTTCCGCAAATACGGTACTGCAGACAATATTTCATCTGACATCATCAGCAGCACCACCATAGTTCGCCTCGTGCTTTTGTACTCTTGGCCCCAATCAATCACTCTTTGGCTCGTCAGTTACTCTCTTGTTTCAACATGGGGCGGCAACCTTCAACAGGGCAGGGCAGTCGCCCTAAAAAGCGTGTCTACATTTACGACGATATCAAAAAGACTCTTGGGCTGGCTAGGGCCTCGGCGAGGTGAGGCGGGAGGTCAGGAATTTCTTCCCGGCTTGTAAAAGTCAACATGGAGGAGTGGTCCGAATCGTAAGGGAAAGTGTGCTTTCAAATACTTTCACGGGAGCAGCGAGATCCTAGCCTAGCCACCCAGCTGAACTGAGGTCACGGGGCAATCCTAGCCATGAGCAGTTCCGGCTCGTCTCGTTGACCTTTTTTCGACCAACCGACGACTCGACTCAAGTCAAATCGAGTTGAGTCAAGTAGAACCGAGTCGAGTCGAGCGAATCGTGTGCAAAAATCTACTCAACTCCAGTTTGTGTGTCGACCCCAAAACAGTCGAGTCAAAATTGATCCGACCGAGTCAATGACTTGACTCGCGAGGGAACGGGCATCATATATTTTTGCCCGCCGGTCCGCGCGGAACTGTTGTCGAATCTGGCTCGAGTCAGCCCTAACTCGGGCCGGGTCGATTCAGGCTTGACTCGAACGCCTAAATCGAGTCGACGAGTCAGAAATCGAGACAGACTCGGCTTGTGCTCATGCCTAGGTAACCGCCTTTGAGTGTGAAAACAACTGAGAACCAGTCACTCAAGTGCAGACAGAATGAAGGTGAGAGCGCTGTGCAACATGTCCCTCTCCTCACCGCCACGTACAAGTCGATGATCATGCCAGCAGCATCGCATTTAAGGTAGGAAGCATACAGGCAGTCGCCCCCAGCCGTCCACCCTGACATGCTGATGCCCCATGCGACCTGGCAGTCGCTGAGAAATGGAACTGCAGAGGGAGGGGAGGGCCCGGGGGGGGAAAGCATCCCACATGTAGTAACGAGGGGAACAGGGGATCGACTCGCCCTGCAGGTGACTTTTGAGTCGACTCAAAAGTCACCTCAGCTCAGAGGGAGGGGAGGGCCCGGGGGGGAAAGCATCCCACATGTAGTAACGAGGGGAACAGGGGATCGACTCGCCCTGCATGTCACACCACTGCATGTCACACCAAATCAAGCCGTTTGAAAATGATAGGTGGCGAGCCGTTTGAAAGAGTCCTTTTGTAGAACAGGTGGGTGCCACCAGTGTGAAGGTTGCTCCCGGGCCACCAGTCACTCTGCCCCCATGGCGACTCATACACCCTGCATCATCGCTCTGCTCTGTCGCTCCAGATGCCTCACTACAACCGCCCAGCTCCCGCGCGCTTACCAGCCGTCCGCCTTTCACCCTGGAAGCGACGAAGTATTGAATCGCTAGGGCGTTGCGACAGAGTGAAAGAACTGGGCTCAATGATCAGACCACGGACGAGAGGCGGCGTACCTTGCAACGACTCTCCCGACACGAGCGGGTAACAGTGGGGTGATGCAGAGATTTGCGGGTCCATACCGCGTGGAACATCAGAGACTCCAAACCCATCTTCGAGGTCACGTCACAAAAATGTGGATCTCTCCTATATTGTAGGTATAGTTGTTCGTATAGCAAGGCTACTCCGTAGCAGACGTACCTATGCCGTACCTACTGTATACCTACTCCGTATTTCTGATCCTGGTATTTTGGGACGCACTAAAACAGCCTCTGGCAACGAAGGCTTACTACTACCTTGCTACCATGCGACGAACAGGCCTACTATGGGACAAAGGCCTACCTTGCGACGAGTCAAAGGTCCGAGCGGTCGACAGGGAGCAACTTGAAAGCGCGCTAGCCCAGAAGAGAAGCGCGCCGAGCCTGGCGGTTAGGTGCATAGTAGAGTTCCTCGACATGACGTGACGACGACAAGGTGTAGTAAGTCAGGAGGACGGTATAGACGAACGGACACGAGGTCAAAGCAGGCTTTCTCAATAGCAAATCGCTACTAGGTAGGTACTACTATCTCTTCGTCTGAGGTGCGCTGCAAGTTGCTGAGCACGCGGAAAGCCAGACAAATATCTCGTTCCTTGCCTGCAAAAGTTGCTGAAGACTTCGATTGACCCAACAACTCCAATCTGTCGCTGCTGCAACTTGACTAGACTGTCCGCAGTTGAAGCAGACTCGACACCAGCAATCCATCATGGTGCGTCATTTGCTTTGTCACAAACTTCATTTTCATTATCGGATGTTTCTTCAGTCGTTTATCTAAAAACGATGTTTAGGGTAGTGGCATATGCCGTGTTACATGCACTGTGTTGAAGGTTGTCCAAAGAAAAACCTAAGTAACACTTCTCTTATTCACAATGCTTTCCTTTGCAATGTGTCTTCCCTATAAGCTCTTTTCATCTCTTTCGTTTACCTTCTATCTCCACTCGTCCTCTTTTCTCCCTATCGTCTCTTCTGTGGTCGCTTTTTCTCTGTCCTCTCCAAGCACCTACCCATTTGTCCCTCATCTCCTCCTCCCGTCTCCTCTCCTACATCGCAAAAAATGTATGCTCACAAAACGATTGCGTAGCATTCGCGCACATGCTTTGCAAACGTTTTGCGAACATGTGGGTGAAAATTCATGGCGGACTTAGATTAGAACACTTGGCGAATGCTTTGACAACATTTCCCGAAACACTTTTTGGTTCACGACAGCGAATGCTTAGAGGTGTCTTTTCGGTAATCTCCGTGGTTCGTTTACAAATGCATGGCGGCGTTCTTTCTACAACTTTTGCAGTAAACATGTAAATGCATAGAGAAGTTTATGCTCACCATTTTTAGTATTCAGCATGATTTGTTGCAAACGTTTGGCGGTGTTTTTCATGGATCCGTTTTTGCAGGCTGCAGTACCCTTTTGGGCATGGTTCAGTACAATTAGGGCATGCCTCGTTTGGATTTACTTATAATGCAACAAGCAAATTATTTTATATATTAAAAAAAACATCTACACCACAGTACACAACCACTATGGCCCAACCGCCCCCCACCAGCACCCCTATGTGGGTCCCGCACTAACACAAAGAGAAACTGAGCGGCGGCACACCAGGAGCAGCAATTCTTGAAACTGGATTGGAATTCCTGCACGTTACGTTCAAAACTTGTTATCTCGAAATTAATCCAAGGTCGAAATCACCAACAATAAGGACAATGCTTACAACAACGAAGTAGCGCGACGCTGGATATTGAGTCCTGCACATTAGGTTCAAACATTGTAATCAAATTAGTTATATTCCATACGACAGCAATTACAAGAGCCAGCTTACCGGAGGAAATAGCTCGTGGTAGGCTACAAATTTCTGCACGTCATACGAGACATTGTTGTGAAATTAGTCTGACGATCAAATGACCAGCGAGACTTACAATTGGACTTACATGGGGAATTATCTCGATGTTGGACAGAGTTACATAGCTAGCTGCGATAAAGACAAGCATCGTGAGGACACATGCGAATCATTAGTTTGATTGATACGTCAAGTAACAAATGCCTTCATACCCCCATGGCGTGCTGTGTGTGCCCGTATCGTGCGTGCATGGCGCCCTCCACCAGCAGCCCCGCCTGGAATCGCCCCGCCCACCACTCCGACGCCGGGCGACTACCCACCGCTGTCACGCCCGCACTGCTTGGAGAGAGGAGGGGGTGGCAGGGGGCGGAAGCGGGAGGGTGGATTGACGGTGTGCGCAAGAGTCGGGGAAGAGCGCACAAGACATGGAAGAACAGAATGGAGGCTGCACTCCTCGTGGCGGCTGCACTCCTCGTGGTGGCTGCACTCCTCGTGGCCGCCTCACCATGAGGGCCACGCGTGCACAGCACACTCACACGATCACACGTATCAACGTGCGAACGCCACACTCTCCCCCACACTTCCTTGCCCTGTCATGCAGCAGGCCCTTCCCACTGCCCCCCACACTCGCACGTGCCTGCGAATGCCCTCTCATGGGCCTCTCTACTCCAGCAACCCATCCGTGGCACCTGTATGACCCCCCCCTCTCCGCCTGGCCATGACTGTTCACCTGTAGTCGAAGTAACGGTGCAGGGAGGCGAGGGAGGAGGAGAGATGGCGCGAGGAGAGAGACTCGTGGTGCTGCCACAGATGCACCTGATGCCATGCACCCACGCCATGCACCCATGTGATGCCATGCACCCATGTGATGCCATGCACCCATGTGCCATGCGCCCATGCCATGCCATGCAGCCATGTGATTCCATGCAACCATGTGAAAGAAAGAGGTGAGTAAAGGCAAGGAGAGTGGTAGGTCGCATGGAGAGGCGTGGCGTGCAAGAGCCAAAAGGGGGTGGCATGGGCACGCAACAGGCAGAACAGAGGGCACACGGATGGGCTGCCAGGGATGGCTTCACACCGCCATGCATATAGCAAGGCACATGTATGCACCTTGGGTGGCAGGTCGTGCGCATACGCCATGGCGCTCACGTCGTCTGGCAGCGCACCACCCATGGCGCCAGCATGCCCCCCTTCACTGCTCCTCGGGCCTGCTGCTGCTGCGCCCAACCTGCAGCGCACACACGATGGACGGATGGATGGGGCATGCGCGTGAGAAGGGGAGTGCACGAGAGCGGATGCTCTCCATTCCACTCTGCCCCCTCCACCTTCCCACACACACTACTAGCCATGCCTCTCTGCACGAGTCGCGCCGCACCGCTGCTGCGCCAAGCACACACGTGGCAAGCACACACATGGCAAGCACAGCTCCAGGGGCGAGGGGGAGAAAGAGCAGCTGGGACGAGCGAAAAGGGAGAGAGGGCACGAAAGGGGGATCGAGACGGGCATAGACGGAACGAGTACAGGAGAGAGGAAAAGGACAGTGGCGAGAAGCGAAACAAGGGAAGAGATGTTTCACCACCGTGCTCGCATCTGCTGGCGTCCGCGCACCTGGTGGCCGCCTCCATGCGCGCATCTAGGTACTCCGCCAGGCGCCCCGCCTCTCGAAGATACCGCTTCTGCGTGCCGCCTCCTCCCCCTCGCCCCTCCTTACTCTCCCGCCCCCCCAATGGCGCATTAGCTCATGAACATGCAGATAAGAATGACATGGGTGAACAAGACTAGTCACCTACGAGCTGCTTGAAACGATAGACCATCGTGAAACGAGATCCTCAGCATAGGGCACACTAAGAACGACCGTGGTAATCGAAGCCTGTGGGAGAGGAAGGAGCTGCTCACTAGGGGGCGCGAAGGCGAGAATGGGAGCTGAAACTGATGCAGATAGAACTGCCGAGGGCTATTATTGTAAGTAACGTCTAGCTGGAAGGCATGAGAGGGCGCAAGGGGGCAAGTAAGGAAGGGATCAGAAGTGTGTGGTGGGCTGGAGTGCTGGCATGTGGGGTGCAGCGTGGTGGGCTGGGTGGTTGGGGCGAGCAGGTGGTTGAGCTGGATTAGCCGCTCTGGAACCACTTGGCAGATTTTGATTGGTTGGACGAGGTGCAGGGGCTGAGTTGGATGAATAAATTTTGTTGGGTTCGGTTGCAGGTGAAGGGTGGGGGCAAAGGGTGTGTGATTGGTCAGCACGTCATTTTGTGAATAGGGGCGTGTTTCTACAGACCCGAATATCAAGCAAATAGGACCTGAAATTTTGGATCCCAGAATCCGCGCGCTCTATAGCACGCTGTAATTTGCGATTCAATTCGGTTCAGTTTGGTATTCACAAATTTCATAAAGCCGTGTTTTGCACCGATTCCGTTGGACTACGCCCTTCTTGGTGGTTGGATGGAGGTGTTGTAGCCAACACTTGTTACTATATATGCTAAGACGTTTTCGATATATCTCAGTGTGTGTCTTGGATTTGTTTAGTAGATTAAATCGCTTTCCATGGGAACTTGACTTTCTGAATGTATCTAGACTAATATGACTTTATGCTAAAGATAAAAAGCTACTCTTGTTGCCAAAATTGGTGCCAAGTTCATGTACTCTTACAGAACGACCGACAAGCCGTTCATAACCTGAAAAGGTCGCATATATATGTGGCAGGAAGAATGTAACAAACTTGAGGGAGAGAAATTGCGACCTCAAAATTCAAGTTGGCTTTACAACCCTGGACCAACTCAGTTACAAGGTGTCGTTCACATATGTAGGGTTACATAATTTCCATTTTCTGCAGCCGTCGTAGATGATGCTAGAGAAGAGACATGGTTAGCATTTGCCAATAACGGCTGAATGTCTGAATGCGTGGCCGCACGGAGATCACCCACAGAATGTGGTTTGTTGAGAGATGCACAGGGAAGTGAGTGGATAGGTTTGGGGTGAAGTCTGGCTTTTAACGGAGAGGTTGTCCAAGGTGAGCTTGACTGGCAATCATGTGCCACCCGGTAGGCTGCGAGAGAGCGGGGAGGAGGGGAGGGGGGGGAGGGGGGGGGGGGGGGGGGAGAAAGAGATGGGAGCATACGTTAGTGGGGGGGCGGGGGGTTGAGAGGGGTTAGTTATAGAGTGTTTACTGCCTGTCCTGCCGGGATCCCGCTCACACTTACTGCCCTCTCCCCCTCCCCTGCTTCATGCCACTCCCCCTCCTCTGTCCTCATGCCTCTCCCCCTCCCCTGCCCTCATGCATCTCCCTCTCCCCTGCCCTCATGCGTATCTGCCTCCCCTCTCCTCATGCCTCTTTCCCTCCCCATCTCCTCCAGCTGTCCCTGCCTCTCACGCCCTCACGCCTCTCCCACTCCTCTGCTCTCACTCCTACCCCCCTACCCTCACTGCAATCCATCTTTCCCCACTCTCCTGCACTCACGCCACTCCCCCTCCCCTACCCTAACACCCTCTCCCCCTCCCATGCCCCTCACGCCTCTTCCTCCCCCGCCCTCACGCCTCTTCCCCTCCCCATCTCCTCCAGGCTGCACTCTCCCTTTCCCCACTCCCCTACTCGTACCCCTCTTTCCCTTCCCTTCTCTCACCTCTCGCTCCCTCCATGGCTCTTGCGCCTTCCCACATCCCCCCCTATCACGCACCTCATACCTCAATGCTCTCCCATCTCTCCCCCTCCCC